AATAAATCCTACCCCAGGACCACACAAGGCACTGCTGCAGCAGTATGAAAGGAAAGCTATCTGGGGAAATCCCTTCCGTTTATTTGTCAAATAGAAAAACAACTACTCATTTCAAAGAAAGGGGAATTTTCATACAGAGCACAGAAAACTGTCAACTAACTCTTACATTTCTGTCTTTAACTGTTAAAACTCATTAGGTAGTACATTCAACATCTAACAAGTTAAACCAAGTCTGGCCTCTGACAAGCTCTGTACTAACCCTACGAGGGAATTTAGGCCACCCAACACAACGTCAAGTCACACACCAAAATTCTCCTTTCAATGTCTTCAAAACGTCGTGAAAAGTCAATGTCTGGCAGAGGCTACCGCCCGGTGGCTTCCCCTGCCGTGTAACCTGACAAGGTACAAAGCTCCTTGAAATATTTAACAGTGGTAGTATGGATGTCTTTGGAGAGGTCAAGAAAAGCAGCTCATCCTTTTTAAAAACATAAAGAACCATTTTATGGGATGTCATTCCCTGGTCCAAGGGTCGGTGCCTTTCCTGGGGGCTTTCTAAGAGACCTGATTGAGGGGAAATGAAAAGAGTAACAAAAGACCCCTTTCCCTCTCCATTCCCAACGTAATCCACCTCACCACAGGGCCAGGGCATCCCCCGGTCATCAATGCCCGCAATTAGAGGCGGCCATAAAGCCACCGCTCAGGTGAGGGGTGCAGCCAGCTCTCTGCAAGGCATGCCATAAAGCTCCTGTTCTTCACAGCCAGTGAATGACAAGAACAAAAAAGTAGCCCTTTGTCTGCCTGCCTCATCTCTCATCTCCACGTGATCGATGAACCATCTGGGCCCAGGTGAAGGCGCGAAGATCCCTTTTTCCGAATAAGAGTGCGTTTCCTCCAGCCGGCCGCACATCGACCCACCAAAGGACAGGCTGTGTTTTGAGCACTGACTTAACAGAAACTAAAGTGAAGCTCCATTTTCCAGAAAATGTTTTTTGCCTATTCTGAACCTACGCTAGAAGCCTCTCCAATTCCTGAACTTCCCAAGAAATATTGGAGCCTACAAGAGTATTAACAACTCAGTAATTTCTAGAACTTCCCAAAGAATTTTCTAATCAAAAAGTTCATTCAAATCTCAATTAACTTTCATTCAGTCTATGTTTTAAAACCTGATACAATTTATTTTTAGGAGCAAGTAATATTTCATTGATTGTCTTCACAACCTACCGGTCCATAAAAATCACCAGTCTGTGATTTACTCCAGATAAGGTTTTACTTATCAAGCTTTAAAAACAACCTGGTTAAGACCCAAACAAATACTTTTTAACGTGAACTCTTTAGCCCCCTCGACCTAGTGCCTACAGGGTTCAGAATCCTATTAAAATGTAGATGCCACATGTCAGAGTAATTGGACTTTCTTAATACCAGAAAGTAACATATGCATAAAAAAGGTTCCCTCACAGCAACCCTAGAACAACTCCTCCCCAGACTAGGGACAGGCCCAAGCTTCCCCCTCCTCACAGGTCTGCGCCCTGGGCTCTCCACCGAGGCAGGAGAACGGGAAGTGACAAGAAGGCTTCAGGTAAATCTAGAAAAAGTTCCCTGCCAACACTAGGGGAATGTGGGCAGGCACAGAGAGCTCTTAATTAGGAGACCTACCATTAAACACAGTCTCAAAAGAGAGGCATGGAGTGAGGATGTGATGCCTGGGAGCAAGCAAAGCACCGAGGCACCCCTTCCAGGGGCACCCCCTCCAGAGGCACCCCCTCCAGGGGCACCCCTCCAGCCTCAGGGCCTGGAGGGCCGTGCGTGTGGAGTCTGCACAGCTCGATGGACAGGGCTCCAAGGTGAGCGGGCAGATGAGAACTGAGTCAGGACCGGGGTATTTTCTTTTCCCAACTTCCAGGCAGAAGATGAATCATGATTTTGTGAATAATGACTTCCTAGGGGAGCCGGTGCCTTAAGGTAATTAGATGGAAGGTAAACTACCTCACGCGGTTCTCAGTGAGAGGGATGTTCTAAAGACCACCTTCCCATGCTCAGTACCAACCAAAGCGCCACCTCTCCGAGCACAACCACAGCCCCCCCTGGTGGCCGTCACGCTGGATTCACAAATACATCCGTTTCGGGATCCTTCTTTTCATTGAGAAGCTCACACGTCTAGAGGAACACAACACCGAGTCTGAAAATAACTTCCCCTTCGAACCATGAATCCACAACACTGAACCATGAAGACAGATTTAACCGAACAAGAGGGACTCTAAACACCAGATGAATTGTTTTTAAAATTTGATCTTCATTTTTCTTATAATTAAAATCAGTCAACTTTAGCAAAGAACTTTTTCCAACAGGTAAGTCCTTATATTTTGTTCACGCAAAGAAAACTTTCCTACCAAGTGATAGTTGCCCTCCCAATGATGCCAGTTAAACGGGCAAATGTACAATCTGACATTAAAAATAACCAAAGACCTAGCCGGTGTGGCTCAGTGGGTAGAACGTTGGCCTGCAGACTGAAGGGTCCCGGGTTCGATTCCCATCAAGGTCACATGCCCGAGTTGCAGGCTCGATGCCCAGTAGGGGGCATGTAGGAGACAGCCGGTCAATGATTCTCATCATTGATGTTTCTCTCTCTCTCTCTCCCTTCCTCTCTGAAATCAATAAAAATATATTTAAAAACAAGAAAAAAATAAAGAGAGACTCCCTGACTCTGACTCTAAATAAACTCAGAATAAGAAATTCTGACTTGACCAAAAAATTAAGATAATAGAAAGCAATCAGAGCACTGGGGTAGAAAAGGACTGGTGAGCTGATATGTGAAGCTCACCTTTTCATTTCACAGGTCAGAAGTTCGAGGGTAAAATCAGTGAACTGCCCGAGGCCCCACGACTGCACGAGATGAGTGTGAGGAGAGCCCGTGCCCACTGACTCCCACTGCGGCCCAGTGTCCTCGCTGCCTTCTCCTTCTCCCTGCGTAGCGTTTGCTGCGCGGGCAATGGGGGAGCCACGCCCACTCTTGCCCATGTGCCCGATAAACAGGGAAAGGATTGCAGAATTCTCCATCTTTCCGAAGCACAACCCAAGCGCCCACCGCAGTCTCTCTCAAATGAAAGCAAACACACACAACGTGCGCCCTGCCCTTCAGCTTCCCTTCTCCGAGTGCGTATGGATCAGGCACAACTGCAATCCGGTGTCCACTAATTTCTAATTAAGCTTTGCCGAATTTTATGAGCAGGGTGGAAAGTTTGCTTTTAATGTTTTGTGAGGTGGTAGGGGAAGTAATTGAATTATGAAGTTACTAAACAGACGCACTGTTGATAAACCATCTCTGGGGTTTATATCAAAACAGCTCCAATTCCAGCTGGCGGAGATGTGTCCTATGTATTTAGGTGGCAGAGTAAGCCCTAACTGGTTTGGCTCCATGGGCAGAGCGTCGGCCTGCAGACTGAAGTAGAAGGCAGAGTAGAGTGACATTAACACCACCTGACACAACCTCAGTGCCGCGGGGCCCTGACTCTGGGCAGGCGACAAGAAAGGCCCAAAAACATGACTCTGGGATTCCTGCATGACAGCGCTCAACAAACACCAAACTTTATGCCCGGCCTGTATGGCTCAGTGGTTGAGCATCGACTTATGAACCAGGAGGCCACGGTTCGATTCCTGTCAGGGCACATGCCCAGGTTGTGGGCTCGATCCCTAGTGTGGGGGAGGGGAGAGGTGTGAAGGAGGCAGCCGATCAATGATTCTTATTGATGTTTCTCTCTCTCTCCTCCCTTCTCTGAAATCAATAAAAATATATTTTTAAGAAAATCAAACTTTAATGCTACTTCCTAGCTGTCACACAGAAAGCCAGAACAGATCAGCAACACCTATGTTTTTGTAAATAATCCCATTCTGACAGAATGTGGCCCTCAAGAACTCATGTGCAGCTGCTACCAAGAGAGCGATTGGAGGCGGGACGTTAGGAACACGCATCAACAAAGGACAAGCCTCCCGTGGAAGCGACCTGGAAGTTCTGTTCCCTGCTACCCACCTCCGCTCACTCGTTCTCTTAGTATTAAGTTAGGTTTTGTTGTGACCAAGTTACAATCCTGATTCATGGGTCACAAGCCACGTGTTCATGAATCCAAGTGAGAGGACAGAACTGCGCACGAATCCGGAAACCACCCTGGGTTTCTGCGGGGGCGCTGCCCAGGGAGCTCCCAGCCCCCTGTCGGCCTCACCATCGATCTGTAAGACCCTGTAACAAAATGCTTGGTTTCTACACTGAAGACGACCCGGTCAAAGGGCATCAGCATGATGGGTTAGCAATAAACCAGACTATGGGTTAGCGCTAATCCAAACCACCAACCCATGCGAGAGCGCCTCAACTATCACATGAAAAGCTGACCCACGAAACAACAGCTCATTTCAGCCCAAAGCAGAAAAAGGACGGGCGTCTGAGTAAGCAGTTAACCACTCTTCTCAGAATGAAGTAGCAACTACTGTTCAGGCAAAAAAACCTTACTAATATGAAATAACTTATTTGAAACAACTGCAATTCCTGAACAGGCTTCCCTCACTGGACACTGCAGGACGCACAATGCCCTAGGTGAGAAGATGTGAGCACGGACGGAAACTTGAAAGGTGGTACATCGAAGACCAAAGACGGGATATCCTGGTGCCCAGACATTAGGTCCCTGAATCCAGGTGGCTCTTTCTCGCCAGTCTCTTAAGATGCTGTCTTTGGGACTGTGAAACCCTGTTTTTGAATATGTGGTAACATTTGGGATGTGAACTTGATCCTTCTGTACAGAGCACATAAGCATGCTGAACCAGAGGAAAACGCTTCTCAGGTCCCCTGACAATAGACGAACTTCTCCTATTAGGGACTTTCTTACATACGCAAATATACATGGGGCTAAAATTCCACATATAACCAGGCAAGTCTCCATTTTAAAAATAAGCAGGTAAATGAAATGTCTTTTTTTTTTGCTGCTGTATCTTTTAGAAAAGCAAAATCAACTCACATTTAAGCACCAACTCCATGCAAGTAACCTGAACGGTTCAGTCTTTTTGTCATGTATGAGGCCTTTGGTTCTCCAACTACATGGGATCTGTGTTGTTAGCTTAAAAAATACAGAATTGGCCTTTCAAAAAAAATAGTCATCTACAGCATCCAACATAGTCTCAAGCAACCCTGCTGACTACAGCTGCCTTCTGGAGGCTGGGAAAGGAGGTGGAGAGAGAGCAGAGAGGCAGGGAGAGGGAGCCGCAGCCAGCCACACAGCAAGGAACACGCCCCCATCATGTCCTCCTCGCTCCATCACCAGGCGGGCTGCAGTCAGCCTCCGGATCGGATCGAGCTGCCTTAGAAACGACTTTTAAAAGGAGGCAGGAAGGCTAACAGCTGGAAAAGGCCAGCTCCTTGGAGGCAGGGGCCGGGAGATCTGGGATCTCCTCCCCAGGGTCTGTGCGAAATCTAAGGGGTGCGGGGCACAGCCGTGGCCAGGGGTTTGCCCAGGATCCTCTGTGCGCCCCAACGGCAGGCACGCAGGAAATGCCTGGTTATCTTTCCCTTTCTGTTTCAATCAAAAGCACTCGGAGCAGAACCCCATGCCCTCCTTCGCGTGAGCCCCTAGCAACTGCCCTTCTTCCTAGCCTCCCTCATCCTCTCCTCCCGCCCAACTCAGACTCCCCCCTCCTGCGTCCAACGGAAAATAAATGCCTAAGGCCCTGGCTGAACCTGAACTCAACTTCCCCTCCCAGGGCAACTTTCTATTTTGCTGAAGGAGGCTGAGCAGCGCTCATCAAAGCACCCCTATCCTCACCCCCGTCCTAATGGGAAGGGGCAAGGGTCTCGACTGGGAGGGAGAACCCCAAGTCTTCCTAAGGAATAACTGTGCTTCCCAGCCCCGCCTTTCCCAGCGAAAGCCAACCACCACCGCACACTGAAGGAAACCTGTCCCTTATCTCCTCTCCTCACTCCGACCCCGCTCCCCCCACCCCTGCCATGCCCAGGGCTGGCCGGGGAAAGGTGGGTCAATAAAGAAATGTCGGGAGAAGAGGAGCAGGCCGGAGGGAGCCAGGTCGGAGGCTGCGCGCTCCCAGCGCAGCGCCGGGGGTGGGGTAGGAGCAGCTGCGTCCCCTGGGAAAGGGGCTGCGGAGCCCCCCAAACACCTCCCCGCACAGGGCCTGCCTCGGGGCCTCCTCTCGGGGGGCTGGTGAGGAGCCGCTCCTCTGAGCCTGGGGACAGTGGACTATCTCCCCGCCAAGAAGCCACCAAGCCTTCATTCTAGGGGAGGACAGCGTGGGGCGGAGGCAGAGAAGCCCCTGCAGCCACCGGCTGGCGCTGAGCTCTGCGAGACGGGCAAGCGGGCTGCTGTGCAAGGCGGCACCGAGCAGAGGGAGGGGAGGGGCGGTGAGGGGGGCCAGGAGCAGGAGGCAGGGGCAGGGATGTTCCCTGCTGGGGGGTGGGGGCGGGAGGAGGGTGAGGGGTGGAGGTGAGGGAAGGGGGAGTGGCTGGGAGCGCAGGACCTGGGCCGGGATGGAGCGAGGGTTCGGCAGGGGGGGTTCGGCAGGGAGGGTTCGGCAGGGGGGGGTCGGCAGGGAGGGTTCGGCAGGCTTTTGGAAGCGAGGTGTGGGGAGGGACATGGCCCCCCGGGGTAGGAGAGCGTGGCCCGGATGAGGCCAGCGCCGGAGAGATGCCCAAGAGAAGCGCTGCCCCGAGAGCAGAACATCTGCCCCAGAGGGAGGCGGCGGAGGAGCAGGTCCCGGGGAGGGAGGGGGGAGGGAGGACTCCGGCTGGATGAGGTAATCTGGGGAGGGGAGGAGGGGTTCAGCCCCGGGATGGGGAGCCCCGGCGAGGGGTCCGTGCCAGGCATGCGGGCCAGGGTCAGGGGCAGGCGGGTGGGGGCGCGCGCCCTCGGCCAGATGGCTTCAGACCCGGGGTGGGCGCCGGGGAACCCACGTTCGGGGCTCCCGAGACGGGAGGCCATGGGCCGGGTCAGGATGG